TTGTATGCTTTACTTTAGACCTATTCTTTGATCAGTAACTAAAAGGGTATTTGCTTCAGCAAATACAGCAAAACCCACACAGGCTTATTCAACTGTTACAAGAGCATAGCACTTTAGATTATCTGCTACTGCCTTTTGGTCAATAACTTGTTATACAAAGTGTTTTAATGATGAAGCTGTCGTAGCAATTAGCAGTACGATCAGCAGTCGAAGTATTAAAAAAATAACACTCTATCAAACGCAAAAATGGCGCAGATACTACACATCTTTTACAACCCAATTAGAGTCATTCAAGACTGAAAGAAAAAAAAGAGTGAAAAAAGAAGCACTCAAATATTATAATTTCTAGAACTCTACTGTCAATCCCTCTTAAGAGGATTAATTCTTAAAGGAAAGCCTCGTTTTCATTTTTAAATTTTGAACCTAACGGTTAAAGAGATTCCCTATCAGTAAATAGGTATACAGCAAATCGAATATGCCTATCTAAAAAATCCTTTTCAATTTGAAATTTACAAAGCTTATTATAAAAAGTGAATTCCTAGCCAAACTGAATAAACAATCGTTTTATTTTATCTATTTACTTTTTCTCAAGCGTATGTGAACTCTGAACATCAGAAAAAATATAAGCAGAAGAACTGAAGAAAGAAAACCATTTAGTCCTTCAATAGTTTCAGAACGTCCAAGTCTAAAAAATCAAACAAAATTTTCAAAATTACGTTGCGATCTTTTGTTGGCTTTTAATTGGAAGCCACTGTAAACCATTATAAAGTACAAAAAACTGATTCAGCATAAAAAATAGCACAAAAAAAAATATAGAATTGAATATTCAAAATGTTTGAGTTCATAACCGACCTACAATACATTAAATAAGTACATCTACGCAAACCATAATTGCATTATCTTCCACTACGTTTCACTACACTTCCTGAATTAGGTTTCAAAAATCACAAAACGTCCTCTTCAAATTTGCTTTTTTTTTTTTAATTTTATGAAACCACAATATAAGCCAAATTTTATTCTTTTTTTGTTAGATAGGATTTCACCGCACGACCACTACCATTGCTCAAAAGTTAATAATGCACAGAAATAACCCTTTATAAAAAGTATTTTGCGGCATACTTCTCATTTTCACTAAGCATTCATTAAACCGTCCGTCTATCACTGCAGAAAATGCTGGCGAAGAATTGAGTATACGTGTCAGCTTGAAACGCTCTTAAATGCTTCAGTGAGATAGCAAAAATCAATTGGCGATATAACACGGTTGTTATAGATTTTAAGTAACAATTTCTTCACTTTTTGAAACTGTGCTCTGAGACTTTTCAAATTAATCCAGGATAACGTTCCAAAAGCAGGCTCACCTGTAACTTAAAAAACAGGACATTTTTTGATAGTTCTTCTTCTGGAAAAGAATGTTTCACCTGCGTTGAAAACAAATTCTGAAGAAGCTTTTGCTCTTTTTTCGCGTCTTTCTCGTTCCTCCTCTTTTTCTTCATCTGAAGAAATTATTATACCAAAGTGTAAAAAATCAAATAACAATCAGAATTTAATCTATGCTCTTCTTTCAACTTTTTTGCATCTGCCTTTCTAACATACAACACATATCCTACTGTTTCTTATTCTTCTATAGTAGTGCATGAGCACTCTTACTGCTCTTTTACAGCACTCCACAAATTACCGACTTTGTCGCTTACGAGAAAATATATAAGCATCAAGAATTTGTAGCAGAAACAGAGTTAATTGATGTTTAACAGTAACTTGCTGGTTTTACGACCACATTCCAATATGATAGATTTTCCACTGTCCTCTTCTCTCTGCTTTACCTGTTGCTTACGTTTTCACAATGTTCTGAAACAGTAACAAAAACAGTCAATAACTGTCTAAATCTTTTGTACGCGATAAATTTCAGGAGGTAATGTCACTCACCTTACTCTTGGTTGCTGTTGCAATTCCAGCGAGCTTCGCCGGTGGAATCCCAAGATGTGGTCTAGTAGACAGAGAAATGGATGGCGGTATGTTTCTTAAACAAATTTGCTGAAGTGAAAGCTTTTAAAGATACTGATCTTGCAAATAGGTCAGAAATTTATCAAACGTACTTTCTGTCTACAAACCTAATAATACACATTAAATTTTAATCAGAAGAACTTTGGTAAAGATTTTCACTTTGTGAAACTCTCTTTACAGTTGCTAACATGGGTGCAAAGTGGCCTAAAAGAAGGATAACATACACTATCGAAAACTACCTTGACTATCTATCGGAAAATGACACCAAGTAAATATTTTTAATTTCTGTCGTAACAGAGTAAAAATGTTTGTTGATAAAGTGAAATGAGATAACAGAGGTCGAATCTTTCCACTAAAAAAAATTTTTTTAACAAAAAAAAACACTTTTTCAGAGGAAGTTTGTTAAAAGAAAGTACAAGCCAGTCTATTTCAAAACTGTTTTTCTGAGAACTCAAAATTGTTGCAAATAGGAAGGGTGTCCAAGAAGCTTTTGACCAATGGTCAACCTTAGTGCCAATCAAATTTCAATTTGTTTCCTCAGGTGGCGACGTTAAGATCAGTTTTGGTAGATTAGACGGGAAATGTTAGTTACAGTTTCTTTTTTAATGCAGTGAAGCTGTAGTTTCCAAGCAATAACTTTGGATAAGATTGACGAAGAAAATTTCTTTATCTATCAGTAAGCAGCGTTATGGTTACTTCTAAAAAACATCGTTAGGAAAGAGGTTTTTAAACACGTTTTTTCTACCGCTGATCCACTTTTAGGGGGCATGTTGGCAGTTGCCACAGTCGGTTGGGCACGAACAAACTTTCTCGTATTCGATACCTATGAAAGATGGACGTACAAAAACGTTGACGAAATTCTGTGAGATTAAATTCTAACATTTTTTTACAAAAACTCTTTCTGAATGAAACCTGAAAATTAAACTGCAAAACTGTTTATAGTTGATTAAATATAACAGTCAGTGTTTTTTACAATTGATCTGTGTTTTGAAGAAGGGTGCCTAAGAGGTGAAGTGGTTTATAGCTTTTTGACCAAATTACTTTGTGAACTGAGAAAAAAAGAATATGCTAAAACTTTTTTTCTTACAGGAAGGGTTATATCGATCTTTATACAATTGCGAAACATGAAATCGGTCATGTTCTTGGTGTGGAGCACAATCAAGATCCTCTATCTGTAATGGCCCCCTACTACAACACTCCACTAAACAGGACTACAAGACAGTTCAAAGATATATCATTTCGAGATGAAGATATTCGGAAAATTCGATCTCTTTATGGTGGGTTTTATATGCTTGAAACTGTCTAATAATTAAAAAAAATGCTTCTTTCTGATAAGTTGTATGCACCCAACCCATGTGCTTCCAAAAATACGAAATTGAAAACGTAAATAATTACACTTAACTTCAGGCCCGGTACGAAAAAGTTGACGCCTTCTGTATCATGGACAGTAATCACTCTGTAAAGAGCCGTCGCATTGTCACCTGTCTTGTGCAATTATTAGATTAATTTATGAAAATAAAGAGAAAATTATGAAATTCTTGAAGGGTTTGATAATTCGTCGTTAGTTTTGAATTGAAATATCATAATCAGCTGTCTTTCAAAAATAATCTTTTTTTTACTAGTTTTGGAAGATCTAGTTGTCAAAAAACAGCAAAGGAACATGAAAAAACAGCATAATTGAAAGTGTGTTTCACCTAAGTTTTAACACTGTTGCCAGCCTTTGCAGATGTGACCAAAACTTGCTTCAATACGCCATATGGCAAATTATCCACATTATAACGTTTAGGAACTGTATACAAAGACCATTTATGTTAACCTGGAGAGTTCTTTTATTTTGAACTTTTTGTAATCTAGGTTTTGATCTTGGTTTATAATATTTGCAAATTTAATGTAGACTAATAAACAAATATATATAAATCAGGTTTTTATCTTTAAGGGGGGTGAGAAAACAGTTCAGCTGAGACAAATATTATGCTAAATAAAGCGCTGCCAGTGTTCTGCCGAAACTATCAGCCCGCTTAGAGGTAAAGATGAAAGAGGACGGGAAGATAAAAGACTCAAAGAAGGTGAAATTATTTAGCATTAACAGTAAGCCTTATAGCAAGAAATTCAGTATCTGTAGTAACCCTTACCTGATTAATGAACATTACTCAGCAAAAAATTTTGCGGTTTGAGCGGTGTCGCCTACTGTGGAAATAAAGAGGAGTAGTTATTGTGGGAAAGGTGCAAACAAGTGGCTGGCTGCAGAATGTATTTAGAAGACATTGTTGTTTGATGAAAATTTAGAAATCAAAAATTTGATGCATAGTTTTTAATAGTTTTTAATTAATTACTGAGAACGAAGTTATTTATTAGGTGACATAACATCGTCTACTGTTCGATATTCAAAATACTTCAAACAAATTTTGATTTAAATTGCGTTTAGCCGAATGTGTATTACGAAGTTCCGCTTCAGTTGCATCTTTTTTTGTGTTTTATTACTTTCAAAAATTACCTGGCAAGTTTGGGGAATATAAAGCAACTCGACGACAGGAAGTGGAAAAAGTTGGTTTATTTTATTGATCTGGCAGTCGTACAGCATAAAAGAGAAGAAAAGACATAAGATTTATTTAGGTGTTAAAAAAGTAAAGTGTATTGCACTTCCAGCTTGGTATAACGCTTTTATTCCTTTTAGGATTAAGATGAAAAGTTGAATAAAATAAAATTGGTGTTCTGTAAACTGTCTAATAAGCGACAAGAAAAGGAAAAATTTTTTAGTCTGCAGAAAGAGTGTTTTGCAAAGTAATCAGACTTAGTCTTGTTTCATGTACTGAAATGATCAGATATTTTGAGTTATTCAGTATTTTACTGGAAAAACAGTGTATGACTATAAAATTTGACTGCTTGTTTTTTTTTCTTGCTAATTCGCTTGGTTAAACAACGAAAATTTAAAATCAGCTATTGAACTGTTTAAATATGCTGTTTCTTCCTCTTTGCATTACAGAGATCTTATCGTGAAAAACTATATTTTATTTTGTTATAGTAAGGTTCAACTCAGGAAGTACTTTAAAGTTGGATTAGTGCAGTGGAAGAAATAAGTAGTTTAATTCAAACTTTGTACAAAGTTATGTTTAAAAAAAATAAGCTTTTTCTTTGCTTGTAAAATTTGATCAACTTATGATAGCTCTGTTTTCGCGTAAAAATGTTTTATAACAAAAGTAGGCTTATAGTTTGTTATGCTAAATTCAGTTAATGCAGTTTCTTCGGAAATACTTTTCCACTGTTTCCCATAATTTTCTCTGTGGTTTTTTTTTCTTTTTGGTGAGAAACTGTTGCTTAGTAATTAGTGAAATTTTGTTGTTTTTTTTTCTTTATTTTGAACTATAATTTCATGTCGGACAACAAAATGCAGTGGAGAAAAAAAAAAAAAAAAAAGGAAAAATTGACAATATAAGTTTGAAGCAATTTTGTTTTGCAATTTGTATGTCATTAACTGTCGATTCAAAAAGAAACAATTATGCGTTTATGATATACACTGACTGGTGACTAATGGTATTTTTTTTAACACATCTTTTTCTGTTTTGCCTCTTTTTTTTTGAAGATTTTTCTTTGTGCTTGTTTTTGACTTTAGATTCTACTATTTTAAGAGTGCTCAATAGTCAGAAAAGTAATTTTGATTGATCATCTCTACCTGTGTAGTTTTATAATCGTTAAATCATCAAGCAACGCATTTAATAATACCCAAAATTGTGTTCACATTTTATATTTAATATTTGCTTTTTTTTTTTTTCTCTGTGAAAACTGAATCACATTTTTTACACATATTTTTCAAGTGTATAGTAATTTTTAGAAGTTTTAGGTGGTACAGTTTGATTATTACGGTACATCCTATTTAGACAGATATTATTGTCAGAAAACAGTGAAACCACGGTAGTGTTGCACAGCAAATAATTGCTAATTTGTTTAGTTTGATTAGACCAAAATTATCTGCAGCTTTCTATTTAAATCATTTTTTAGTAAGAAACAAAAATTTAGACAAGAACTTTTTTTCTGCTTAATGTTTTGGCTTTTAATTGGTCTAAATTTTAATTGAAAACAGGTTCATCAAAAGTTTTATTAGACATCTATATTGCTGTACTTCTAAGCTTTTTTTTTCTTTTTTGGAATCTGAATAAAATGAATAACTGTGAGAAAATTTTTGCTTGAACTATGTTCGTCAAAAAAAAAAAAAATAACACTTTTCAACTTCAACTTCCGTTTTTTCTTTTTTTTTTTTAGCTTTTTATAATTTTAACATATAATCTGCAAAATTCTATTACAATTAATCTGCTAAGCTCTGTTATTGTTACTTATTCTCTTTTTAAGCTTCTTTTCTCTTGGTATTTAAATCAAAGATGATATATTTTTGAAGACTAAAATATTGAATCCAAGATTATGGCATTTTCGTTCTACGTATCGTCTGTGAATTAGATTGGTTCTTCTCTTGGCAAACTAAAAATTTCTTGTAAAAATGATGATAAAGATGAAAAATTCTGCAATTTTTGCAGTTAGTAAGAGTTGCAAACTTCAGTGTTCTAACAAGGCAGAGGCTTTTTTAGTGATTTATAAGAAAAAAAATTGATAGTTTAAAAAAAGTAAATAAAAAATAAAAATTTAATATCTAAATAATTATTCAAATTTCAATTATTTATAAAGACAAAGAAATAAGAACATCTTTATTTAAAAATTTGAACTTATTTTTCTTTTTTTGTTTTTTTCAGCTGTATAATTTATGAGCAGTTTTGATACTTCAACGTTTAAGAATGAGATATGTTTTCAAATTATCTCAGAATCAAATTCAAAAGATTACTTTTAAAATAATAAGATCTTTAAACAAAAAATCAGCTGAAATTGGATTAAATGTTATAAATAAAAAAAAAAAATTTCTTGTTTTTATACAGCTACAAAAACAGTTTTTTCAAGAATGTAATTTTAACGTGTGAAAAAGATTAAAAAATTTTCAGTAACAGAAAGAAAGAGCAGTCAGCTAAATTATT